TACCTTCATCCCCAAACCACCAGTCATGGTTCCAGACCTATTGGAGTTGACGATCTCCTAGATCGTTAAGGGGTGTAACCTTCACCTCGTGAACGGTTTACAAGTTCCTAAAACTTGTTGGCGACTCTTTTTCTCTAGCTTCCTTCCCTTTGGACGCCACCGTACTTTAGTGTATGATCATAGTGGGGTTCAAGCTACGGATAATGCTTGAAATATTCCCTACAGTTTTTGGCGACTCCACTGGGGAGGATTTCTATTTTAATTCCTTAAATTTATTTCGGCAATGATTTAGAATGAGTGAATGAGACTCGAAAAGTTCTAAGTATTTCATGTGCGTAATTTTGATTAATATTATTGTCATATGCATAAAAAAGATCTTATTGGAAAGATCATCCGTAATGAGTTAAACCATAGGATTTTTACACGTAGGAAATTTGAGGAATATCTTTCAACACTAGGATCGAAAAACACTGCGTGAAACTGGAAAATTTTATCGAGCACAGAAAGCTGCTGAGGCATGTAGAAACTAGCGTCAGCGAACAAAGATTAGCGCCAGTATTTTGACTTTAGCGCCAGACGACAGCCTCTGTCGCCAGGCGCTAAAGCCAAAAGCTGGTGCCAGCCTCTGTTTGTTGGCGCCAAGTTCTTCCAATACCAAGCCAGAAATATGCGTTCTAATTTCGACCAGTTTTTAGCATTGTTTGCTCGATCCTACTTCCTAATTGAGTTTTTCTCACTTTTCTGAAACCCATATGTGTTCTACATATGGACATAACCCTCTGGGAATTCATTCTACATCTACCTGATTGAACGCTCTGAGCAACAAAGGGTACATCCGAGAATGTTGAATTCACCAAACCATGGAAGCGAATTTTTCTAAATTCGCGGTGTCCCATCCACTCGCGCCAACCCTTCACGGTTAGGCTTCCGCGCGGTGCATCCGGAAAATTAACCATGGACCCTCTTTGACTAACCCATATCCCGAACTTTAGAGAACTAGAGCCATGGTTAGGTTGCAAACTCATTGCATCATATCGTGCCTACTTGACTAATTGTGCATTATTTGTTGTGCATACTCTATGTGTTTTTCCTAACCGTTTGTTTGACTTGTGCTAAGATTAAATAAATTAATGGCTAAAAGAACTTTGCCTAATTAATTAATTAATTAATTAATTAATTTGAGTAAATAAAGTCTAATATTTTAACCAAAGTTGACTTAGTACGGCTTTAGGTATACCCCTGCTGATCAATAATACCGAAAACAGTTTCAGATTAACGCTCCAGCAATGGCGCCGAAGTTTGAACTGTAGCGCCACTCTGTGAAGTGTGGCGCCTGGCGACAATTCTGTCGTCTGGCGCTACACTGTAAAGAGAGACGCCAGTCCTGTCGTTTTGACGACAGTTCGGATTATTGCTCGAGTCATCACTTTGTGTCCAATTAAACAGTTTTCTAATCAATTCGGTTAATATTTTACTGTTAATAATGCTTTTTTAAGTCATTAATTGAGTCTAGGCACTACGTCCCATGGTCTTACACAAAAGTCCAAGCATGTCACTTACACTCACCACATAACGCACACGCCAATACACATACTTTGACCATGTCTAAGAAAATCTTGTATGTGCGTTTTTTCCGTCATTTTTTTAGGGGGTAAGTCGGATATTAATCCTCCAATTTAAACCACTTGATTAAACACCATACTTGATTCCTAAAAATATATATACCTTATTTTTGCGAAAAATATGCACCTATTTTTTTATTTTTCCTCTTTAAAACCGTAAAGTCAAGGTCGTTTTAAGTCAAATAATTAAAACAAAATGGTTTAAATCACATCGCGTGGTCAAGAAAGGAAGGGCGGTTAATTAAAGACAATCTTTTTGTACAAGTCCAACTTTTCGACAAACCCATCGCTCGTAAGAGGAAAGCTAGGCGTCAATGGAAACACAAGAAGAAGTCATTGAGCTCAGGAACCAACTGGTTACCGTGACTGAGGCACTAAAGATTCTAACCCTCAAGATCAATGATCTCGTGAAACAACAACAGATGGACCTTATGCAAGAGAGTCTGAGCAAGCTATCAAGCGACTACAAGTTTCAAGGGATTAGCTCACAAGGGTCTCGGTGGACAAGGATCTTCTTCCGCAGAAGTTCAATGCCAACGACATCCCGAAATTCAAACCAACTGATAACCCTTATTTTCATTTAAGAGCCTTCGAAACAATAATGAGTATTAAGTGTATCGACAAGAAGGTGTTACCCTCTCTGTTCTCACTATCTCTCGAAACCGTTTGCCAGCAATGGTTCTTTTATCTCGAGAAAGAAAAAACCTCCGCCTGGGAGTCCATAGCAAACGCTTTCGTTGATAGATACAAATGCAATATTCAAGTAAGCAGAAGGAGAATGAAGGCTTCACTTCCTTCTTTAACAAATGGAGAGAAACCTCAGCTAAGATGATTGAGGTGCCAAGTGAAAAAGAGTCCGTAAGGTTATTCATCAAAAACCTTCAAGAAAAATACTCCAAGAATCTCAAATATCAAAATAATCTCCATACCTTCAAGGTCGTCTACGATATTGGAATTAATATTGAAGACGACCTGGCTAAGTTGAAAGCTTCCAACAATAACTCCAACAGTGGCTGGAAAGGCAAGAAGAACGACAATCATTCTTCTTCCAAAACCACCCACTCAAACAATGTTAGCACTTTTAACCTAAATGAAGTCCTTGCTACGAATAATCAAGGAAAAAAGAAACCATTTAGGAGGAACTTTACTCCTAATGGCATGAGTTATGACACCGCATTTGACCGATTAAATGCAAAAGGTCTTATAACTCCTATTGGACCATTTGGGGACCCACCAGTCGAAAAGAGGACGGCTAACTAGAACCCCAATGCACATTGCAAGTATCACCAAGGTAGGGGCCATCTTACCGAGAACTGTTAGAAGCTTAAAGAAGCTATCCAAGACTTAATCGATAGCAACAAGCTACCATTGCCCCTTTCCAGTAAGAAGCCAAGTATTGATAATGCGCCTCTCGCTCACTCCTTGGCCATCTCTGATGAGGAAAACAAGGTTTATCCTTCATCTCTCGTCAAACCCGTCAAAGAAATCCGTGCCATCAAAGAAGAGGAGGAGATCTTTTTCGACGCCATGGATAACTTTCCAGAATTAGCAAGTAAAGAGGACTTACAATTTCTTACACTGACTATGATGGAAGGATCACACTTTCTACGTGAAGCCCTCAAGGTTGTAAAAGAACTTCAGAAGAAATATGACGAGGTTCCACCCTCGAAAAGTAAGCCCAAGAAAGAGTTCACACCCATGGGAACGACTTATGAAGCGAAACGTTTTCCTTTACAAGTCACCGATAAACCCAAGAAGAGTAATAAACTCTACACTCCAATTGGGATCCCATATATACAAATGTTCAAAATGCTCTCCGAGAGTGGCGAGATCAAACCTCTCGAACCGAGACCATTTGAATCATTGAAAAGGACAGATAGGTATTACTGTCAATATCATCAATCTGGGATCATACTATCGAAAACTGTTTTAAATTCAAGGATTTAATTCAGAATATGATTGATGATAAGAAGCTAGTCCAAGTTCCATGAGAAGAAGATGTAAATATTAATGAAGTGTGGGATAGCGACGAAGAAGACGTCTATTTAAAAGACATGGTAGGACCTCCACCTTCGGTGTCATATGCCATGGATGGCTTTTGGGTTGAAGAAGATTCATCAATAGACGTTCTCACAAGATCCGGGAGAATGCAACCTCCTGTTTCAACACAACCCATGCCAACCACACAGCAAATTCCCATACCTATCATAGAAGATAATGACATCGTCAAACAGTTCAAGAAAACAAAAGTTGAAATGAACGTATGGAAGCTTCTGGCAACGTCTCGAGAACATAGGTTGGCCGTAATGAATGCCTTGCATAAAATAGGGATAGATTCTGACACCACTCCTGAGGGGTTGGCTAACTTCCTCACGAGTGATCTCCCTAGTCCCATCAATTTGATCACCTTTTCCGACAAGGATTTACCCCCAGAAGGTGACAAACACTATAAGGCATTAAACCTCACAGTGGTTTGCAAGATAATGAACGTCCCTATGGCTCTTGTAGGCAATGGATCAGCCATTAATGTCTGTCCACTTAGAACTGTGAGGATGCTAGGCATAAGGGATGAAGACTTAACCCCATCAACCCAAGGAATAAGAGCCTATGACAACACTCGTCGTCAATCTCTTGGTAAAACTACCCTGAATGTAACGCCGGGATCGATAGAACACGCTACTACTTTCCAAGTAGTAGATATTAAAGCTTCATTCAATCTATTGTTGGGGCTCCCTTGACTTCATGTCCTAAAGGTCGTCCCCTCATCTCTCCACCAACAAGTAAAAGCTATAGTGGGAGGAATTCCTATTACCATCGATGCTTCGCCTATGAGGATTAAATCTATAAAAAATCCAATAAAAACGTGGAGCACGATGAAGATGATGAACATTTGTGAGGCTTTAATGAAGAGGTCTCCTTAATCTAGGAGGATGAAAGGACCCCTCTCTGCCACGACCCCTATTCCAACATGATCGTGAATGTTATTTTGAAAAAGCAAGGACATTTTCTTGGGATGACCCTAGGAAAGAAAAAAGGAATAGAAAAACCGCTGGAATCACCTGGCCTCCCTAAATTTGACACTTTCGGACTTGGTTTCGAACCGACTCAGAAAGATCTTAAGCGAGCCCAGGAAAATTCGAAGGCACGTAGGGACGCTCACATTCAAAAGAAAGCAATCCCAATGGATCAGTACCCTCTTACCCTTAATGGTCAATTCATAAAAGAAGGAGAGGACTATCCATGCTACGAATTTCCCGAACCATTTGTCGTAAATGGCATAAGGAAACCGGGATTCGAAATTTTCTTAGATTGCTATTTCCACTACTACAAAATGAGTGTTTTTTCGACGATGTTGCCTCGACGCTGGATAAGGGGTGTTAGTGGGTAAATTTAGTATCCGCGTTTTTTCGACGCTTTTAGGTGACGAAAGCAATTTTTGTCGCTGAAAAGCGTCAAAGACAAGCACATGTCACGCACATGAATTGTTAGTACCTCACAACTCAACCCACATTTCAATTTTAAGGGGAAAATAAACCCAAATCAGACTACTCAGTTCCAACCCTAATTATTCCTCCCTCCTTCACGAGATTCATGAATTCGATCTAAATCTAGATCTTCTTGCAATTCCCCAAATTATGCTTGGTGAAATTTCTCTACTCACTTTGAACTGTGATCGATTTATTCACTCTCTTTGCCGCCGTTGATTATAAGGTACATCTTTCATTTTAGAACGAATTCGAATTTCTCTTTTGATTGAAGTCTATTAAATTGTTTTTAGCAACTTTTTTTTTTCTATATTATCACAAAATTATGATCTGATGTTGTTTGATTTTTGAATATATGCTTACGATTTAAAAGAAGTTTATATTTAATCGATTGAATTGTAGATTTCATGTGCGAATTTAAAAGACGTTTATATACAATCGATTGAATTGGAGATTTTGAAGTAAATTCCTAAAGAAAAGTTGTGATTTTGAGAAGTAATAAGTAATGAAGCAAAGAGAACCAAATCGGAATGACAGTTTCTTGTTCCTTTTAATTGGATGTTTGATAGATATTTTTTATTAGTTAGTTTTAATCAAATTCAATTCATCTTTGGTTGTTGCTTTTACCTAGCAAATGTTACTTGTAATTTTGTTGGTTTTAATATGATTTTACAATTTAATAATTAATTCCTCCTCTAGATCTATGCATCAAATATAGTGTTAAAGTTCTTTTGGTTTGCTTTCTTCCATTCTTTTTTTTAAAGGCGTACTAGGGACTGTGATTAAGAGGTTTTGAAGAAGTTTTTCCTTCACTTGATCTCCCTGATGCTCTTGTCTTCCTGACATAATATAGCAGCCACATTGGCAGCGTCATGGCTGGTGGCTTGGCAACAGGTTGGGTGTTGCAGGTACCTATGTGTTGTTGCTTTTATTATTAATTGTTGTTCTAATTTTGGTCTTGTTTGATGCTGCTGCTGCACGCATTGAGGTGTTGTTGCAAACTCGCTACTACCTTCCTTTGTTGAATGAGATACTGCCTCAGCTATCTTCATGGATGTTTTTATGTCCTATCTTTTGGGTGTGTGTGTGTGTATGTGTGTGTGTGTGTGTGTGTGTGTGTGTTCGTTGTTGTGATTGTGTCCTATCTTGTGTTATTCAGACTTAAATCAATAAAAGAAATCATTTTTGTGAGCTTATAAAACTACTAGGATTCTACTTTGACAAAGCTAAGCTCACCTATGGGTCAACCTCACTTGCCTCTGGGTAGTCCCATCTTGTTATGTACTTTGACTGAAATCAATAAAAGAAATACTATTTGTGTACTAATAACTTACCTATAGGACTCTAGGACTCAAGTTTAATAAATCTAAGCTTACATTTTTTTCCAAGGAGGTCAGCAATTGCTTCAAAAACTACAGAGAATGATATTCACAAGCTTGTATGGAGATATGTTTATTCATTTAAGAACTTTTTCATACTTATTTATCGGTGAAAGAGCCATTTTATGTGCTAGGTTTTTGTATACATATTTATCCTTTTTTTGGTAAAGTTTTGTCCATGTTTGTATATCTTATTAATATAAGAGAGAAATAATTTAATTATAGAAATTATACTCTGAAATTATGAGTTGGCAAAAGATGAACTTCAGTTAAAATCGACTCTCTTTAACTGAATTGTAATATATTTTTCTTCAACTAAATTGTAGCATAAAATTACGAGTTAGTAACTGATGATTGTATGGAATACTGTCTCTTTGAATAATCCCATGAGCTTTATTGTATCTTACAAAGAGATTATGTACCACTCAGAGGAGCTGCAACCTTCTTTAAAGTTCCATGTAGATAGAAACCTGATTTAGTGTTCAAGTTATTATGTAACAGGATCCTGTTATTATGGAATAAATACAGAACTGCAAATCCATATTCATAGCTATGAGAGTTACATAGCAATATAGCATTACTTGCTGAAGAAAAATTTTGAGCCTAGGCATCTAAGAATGCGAAAACCAGAGTTTCCTTGTGAGCCATGAAGCTTTTAATTTCTATCTGATAATCATATTATCATATTAATCAGTCAAAGTATTTTGGGATTTTGAAGAATAGTTGTTGATGAGCCTTTCATTGTGGTGTTTGCCGAATTTTTTTAGTGACTTGTTAATTGTGAAGACAAAGAAAAGGGTAATGGAGAGAGCAACCTGACGCTAGATTGCATGACTGAGTTTTTTGAGCAGGGTTGCTTTGATAGTGCAGGGATCAAGGTATACCTTTTTTTTAAAGGATCAAGGTATCCTAGGATTTTGGGTAAGTGTTACATTATTATTGTTTCAATTTATTTTGTACTCCAATTCTTTCAGTAATAATTGAGTAATAATTGATTTTGATTTGGAGTGCTTGCTTGGTCCATTGTTGTCGCTCCCTATGTTCCTATTATTGTGAAATTTTATTAATTTTGGGTTGTGTTTTGCTTTTGTTGCGATGAAATTTGAATTTTTGGGTTGATTCATGAATGGTGAGGATTTGAAAGAAAAGGGTGGTTTCTAGTTATTGCTTTAAAGTCATAGGTGTGGTTTCTTTTCGAATCATTATAATTGGTATTCGTATGTATTACTAATTCAATTTCTTTCATTAGTTGAAATGATGGATGTTGTTCTTGTAGCAGAACGTTGACCACACTGTTGTCGACCTTGCTACTGTTGCTGTGCAATGTTGTTGCTGTTGTTTTTGATTCCAGATGATGTTGTCAGTATTCCTAGGACAACAATGATTGGTCGGACACAACAATCTTCTTCTTAAAGCGCTTGTTGGACAATTTTCTCAGATTGTAGGTGTAGTTCGTCAAGGGAATACATCTCCGGGTCTTTTAAACAAAGCATCCGAATTCTTAGGAAAGGCAAAACATCAGGTAACAAAGTCACATTTTTCTTTATAACTAAAATCAGAGCTGAAATCCAGAACTGAATTCAGATATGAAGTTCAGAACTGAATCCAGAATTGAATTCAGAACTGAATTCAGACCTGATTTTTTGGAAGTTTAAATTCAGAACTGAATCCATAACTGAATTCAGAACTGAATCCATTTATACTACTTGTCTGCCCTGCTCCCCTGCTGCTTGCTGTCCTGCTCCCCTGCTGCTTGCTGTCCGTTCCCCTACCTAAGCTGAATGCCTGAGATGTCTAGACTTATCTTCCATCTTTTGCTGCTATATCATGCTGCTATATTTGAGCCTAAAACCATGATATAAAGCATGATGGAATGGAATATTATTTTATCTGTGGTTCTATACTAATGAATGTGTGGGATTTCTTTGCTAAGGTTAAGTAAAGATTAAGGCTGCTTTAGATATTGTGAGCCGCTCTGATAATGTTCATAGAATAGATTAGCAATATAATGAGATTTGGGGATTCATTTACTACATAAGAAATAGCTCTTGAGTTTTTAAGGGAGAATGAATACTTTACCTAAAGAACCTGAATCCAACATAATGGTTTTGTCCATTTTTATTCAACACTTACTAGCTAACATGTCAACTTCCAATCTGTTTCCCTTTGTTTAGCTAACAAGTCAGCTTCCAATATGTCAGCTAACTTGTCTTCAGGGGGAAATCATTGATGTTTCTTTCTTGGCAGTTTGATTTTTTTTTTAAAATAAAACGCACTTATGGTTTTCAATTAATGATTGATTATACTGTTATGATATGAATGATTAGCATTTTCAAGTCCTATAAGGTCATCTTTGTGCACATGTTATTTGATAATATCCTATCTCGATAAATGATTAGGATTCTCTTCTTATATTTCTTCAGGCACTAGTATAATTACTAAGCAAAAATGTGAACTTCACTTAAAATGTTGAGTGCTTTTCCTTTTCCTGTGTTCTGATAATAAGTGTTGAAAGCATAAGTAGCATGAGCAAATACATTATCAGGCTCATAGCAAGTCTCGCCTGCAATAAAGGGGAACAATCCTCTTGTCAACTCCATCTCTTGCACTACAATAAGTCTGGTTTGTTGTATTATTAGACAAAACAGACCCATACTGATATAGACTGGCTTCCCATTTGCATCGAATAATCCCCAATTCTTTTCTGAGGTGGCCCCATCCTTTGGCATCCCCCTTAGACTGCCAGCCTGATGTTTGGGTAATGCTTGTGTGTGTGTGTGTGTGTATGTGTGTAAGATTGCTGTTACAAGACTGCCAGCCTGACGTTTATAAGATTCCTGTTGTAAGTGTTGGCATTCTCAAAGACGTTTGTGTAATGCTTGTGTGTGAAATTCAAAAATGCTTGTGTGTGTGAAATTTAGAGCTTGTGTGTGTGTGTGTGTGTGTGTGTGTGTGAGTGTGTGTATAAGCCTATATTGTGTAATGTACTAATTTATAATTTGTATTTTTTTTTTGAAGATTGGAAAAGGCAATGTAGGTGCAACAAGAGAATAGGCCGGGACACTTGAGCATCAAAACAAGCGACTAAATTGTCTATAACGCCGTCATCTATCTATTTTGGTTTTTAGTCTTATTTATATTAGTGATGTATTTATTTAGGGATCGGACAAGCTACTATAATATGCGACTTTTTTTTTATTATTATTTTTATTAATTGTGTTGATGTTTTCTTTTATAAATTTGGTAATTAACTACGCACTCTTATTATTATTGATTAATTATTGTTTTTTTTTAATCTCATCTAGTTATATAGAATATTTGTTTATTTTTATTTTAATGTTATTAATTTAATTTATGATAAATTTAAATAACTATAATGTATATATGATGGTAATATTTTAATAAAAGGAAAAAAAAAAGCTTAAAAATAATTCTAGACGCTTTTTAATGTCTACATATTTGCACATTTTCAAATTTCAAAGAGCTTCTCGCCATACCATAGGCTGACACGAATAAACGCAAGACAACAAAAAGCGTTGCTAAATTTGATTATGTGGACAGGAAAAAGCGTCGCTAAAAAACTACACACATTTGGGATAATGCGCCAAATACGTAATTTTCGACGCTTCGTATATTAGTTTGGACACTAAAAAGCGTCGAAAATCTCGACACTTTTTTGTGTCCCTGAAAAATTTTCGACTCACAAATTTTCGACGCTTTTTTGCAGCGTCAAGAAATAATTTTTCGACGCTTTTTAGCGTTGAAAAAGGCCTAAAAAGCGTCCAGAAAACACGCTTTTTGTAGTAGTGTTCACAGACGAAATCCCAACTCCTGACATAAGGAGAAAGCACCCCCATGCTTTGACTTTAATGTCATGGGATTATTATTTGGGCGAGAAAAGGATGAGCCGACATACAAAGGGGATGACTCCTCGCTCATTCAGACAGTCCTACAAAGCGAAAGCTTTGATCCCTTGAAGCTAATCACTCCAGCGGAAGGATCACTACAAGGGTGGCACAAGACCGTCAAGGTGACTACTCCAAATGGAAGGAAGATCTCCATCACGACAGGGCAAGGACCGATGTTCGAAGAGTCGTCTGAGTTAGAGTCAGAGTCAGAGTCTCTCCCTATAGAGTCATCTAGGTCCTTAATTGTAGCACCTCCTCCTTATATCCCTTCCCCTAGAATAGTTAGTGATCAAGTCCCTGAGGACATATCACTCTTCGATGTAATGATCTCAGAGTATAATAATATGACTTCTTCTCCTTACTCCTTGTGTTCTTCTTTAACCCAAGATGACGAGCATTGCTTAACTAACAATGAAAAAGACAAAGAAATTATTAAAGCAATGAAAACACTTGAAAAGAAGACACCGATAATTGAAGAAACTGAAATGGTTGATATCTCAAATGATTCAACCAATAAAAGAGAAGTTAAAATTGGACTAACACTTAGTGAACAAGAAAGAACCGATTTAATCAACTTGCTTAAAGAATTCATCGATGTATTTGCTTGGTCATATGAAGATATGCCAGACATTAATAGAGAAATAGCTCAAATCACTATACCACTAATTCCGGGAATGAAACCTGTAAAACAGAAGTTACGTCGAATAATAAAAGAGGAAGTTCAAAAACAAATAACTGCAGGTTTCATCAAGGTATCCAAATACCCCGAATGGGTCGCCAACGTCGTCCCAGTTCCGAAAAAAGATGGAAGGGTAAGAATGTGTGTCGACTATCGAGATCTAAACAAGGCAAGTCCAAAGGACGACTTCCCTTTACCACACATCGATATTCTGGTGGATAACACAACAAATCACACACTTCTCTCGTTCATGGATGGATAAGCAGGCTATAATTAGATTCTTATGGAAGAAGAAGACATGGAGAAAACAACCTTCATAACACCATGGGGTACTTACTGTTACACAGTAATGCCATTCGGGTTGAAAAAACGCGGGTGCTACTTACCAACGTGCAGCGACTGCCTTACTCCATGACATGATGCATAAAGAGGTCAAAGTATATGTGGACGACATGATTGTAAAGTCAAAAGATCGCCCAGGCCATCAAATAGCCTTAAGAAAATTTTTCGAAAGGCTAAGAGAATACAATATGAAGTTGAACCCATCTAAGTGTGCTTTTGGAGTCACCTCAGGCAAGCTTTTGGGTTATTTCATAAGCTCTATAGTAATAGAGATAGACCCAATTAAGATCAAGGAAATCATGTCAATGCCACCGCCCAAAACCGAGAAGCAGATTCAAGGATTTAATGGCCGGTTGCAATAAATAAGCAGGTTCATATCAAAATTGACAACGATATGTGAACCAATCTTTAAAAAGCTTAAGAAAAATGTACCAGTAATATGGGATGATGAGTGTCAAAAAGCCTTTGAAAAGATCAAAGCCTATCTCGCAAATCCTCCCGTATTAGCACCAACACTTCCGGGAATACCTCTTATGCTGTACTTAACAGTTACCAAAGAGACAATGGGAGCTATGCTAGCACAAGAAGTAGAAGGCAAAGAAAATGCGATCTACTATCTAAGCAAGAAAATGCTCGAATATGAAGCACGTTATACACCACTTGAGAAATTGTGCCTCGCCTTGGTGTTGGCCACAACCAAGTTAAGACATTACATGTTAGTGCATACAGTCTTCGTAGTCTCCCGATTAGATCCACTCAAGTATCTATTCGAGAAATCTACACTCAATGGGCGCATATCGAGATGGATAGTCAATTTAGCCCAGTTTGATGTAAGGTTCATGCCACAAAAAGCTATCAAAGGATCTGCGATGTCAGATTTTCTAGCAGACTTTCCAATAGAAGACTCGACGCCAATACAAGACAGTGAATTTCCAGATGAAGACTTAATGGTCACTGAAGATGATACTTGGACCTTGTACTTCGACGGAGCCTCAAACCAAAAGGGATGTGGCGTTGGAGTATTACTAGTATCACCTAAAGAAGAACATATTCCAATCTCCATAAAGCTTGATTTCGACGTTACCAACAATGCTGCTGAATACGAAGCATGTGTGGTAGGCCTTGAAACAGCTTTGGCATTGGGAGTAAAAAGTTACAGATATTCGGAGACTCTTCATTAATCATCAATCAAATCTCCAAAAGGTGGAAAGTAAGGAGCCAAAGTCTAGCCCCTTACCAAACCTATCTGGAAACTCTTACTAATCAGTTAAAGAAGGTAGAATACACATATCTACCCAGAGAAGAAAATCATTTTGCTGATGCCTTGGCAAGACTAGCCTCAATGGTTAGGATTCCTACAGAAATCGAGCAAATGCCTCTAACTATAGAAAAAAAGGCACAAACCAGCATATATTCAAGCTATAGATGGAAGGTGCTGAAATAATCCAGAACGAAGATGAAGAAGAAGAAGAAGAACCGTGGTATACGGATGTACTCAATTATGTCACCAAAGGAGAATACCCTCCCCATGCTGACAAAAGAGCAAAACGAGCATTAAGACTCTTGGCTTCCCAATACGTACTCATAGACAACGAGCTACATAAAAGGGTACCTAAGGGTCCAACTCTCTTATGTGTAGGAAAAATGGATGCCCAAAGAGCAATGAGGATAGTCCACGAAGGAATTTGTGGAACTCACGTAAAGTGCAAAATGTTAGTCCAAAAGATAATGCGAGAAGGATACTATTGGACTACGATGAATAGGTGAAAGGGTAAAGTTGTATCCCCTAATCAAAAGTAAATACTTAAGTCCTCTAACTAAAGTAGATAGGGAAGTAGGGTCGAACTCCACAGGGAAACAAGTCTTTTTACTCCTAATTAATTATTATAATCTAAATTATCTAAGTAACCAATATTTTTGGGAATAAATTCTATACTACGAAGAATAAGTTTAGGGAAAAAAACAATAATAAGAAGGCCTAGGGTCACAGGTTCACCAATAATTAATATTCTGGGATAAAACATAATAATTAATAATTAACATTGCACAAATAACATGATTAACATGCTCTTACAATTTATTAATCAACATAGATCTAACAGGCTCTCGCAATTTACTAGATCTAAGTTCCTATTAAAAATAGCCTTTAATATTGATTTAACATCTGCTCGATTCATCAATTAAATATTGCTAAACATTCACAATCAAATTACATCTGCTTGATTCATAATCTAATTGCAAAGAATTAAAACAATTCAATAAGAAATTATCATGCAATACCAATAATCAATAATAACAAATTATCCCTTCATATTAATTATGGATCCCCATAAACCCTAGAATTAAACTACTCAGACATAATCATAACTAAACTAATCAAATAAATAAAACAAAACATAATCAAAGAAGTAAATGAAATAGCTGAAATTAAAAGAGAATAAATTGTTACCAAAAGAAATCTGGATTAATGATAGTAATTAAGAACTAAGGTTTAAAAGAGAGAGAATCTAAGAAAACAATGAAGAGAGTAAAGAAAGAGTAAAGAGAGAGAGAGATAGAGAGAGATATAGATACTCAAATCGTATTACGGAGGAGTATTTATACTCCGTACAAATCCTAAACTAAAACAAACTAAAACGAAGCTAATCGTCTCCTAATAAATACACGCGCCCGATCAGGCGAGGCACTGCCCGATCGGGCGCGCCTTTTTGCTCCTTTGTTGAATCTCGCGCCCGGCCGGTCGCGTCACCGGGCGCCAACCTTAGCTTCTCCCGCCCGGCCGGGCGCGCCTCCGGGCCCGCCTCCAGGCGCCAGCCTTTTTGGCCGGGCGGCTCTCTTGGGACACTAATTGGACTACGATTGGGCTCTAATTCTTCAGGCCAATCTGGGTTTCCTCTTCCGGTCTTGATTACTCGGTCCAAATGCCCTGGTATCACCTATACCAAGCCCTTAATCACCGGTTCGATGGCTCTAACCGACCCTGGGCTATAAAATTTGGTTATGCTTCTCCAATGTTTGTGATTGCTCCAAAATATCTCGGGAAAACACTCTAAAAGTGTAATTCCCTGCGAAAGTCAACCAAATCTACGAAAACACTAGAAAACACCAATTAGTAATAAAAGTGGCTCTAAAGAGCCAAAAACACTACTAATTATGACCAAGGGACGGGGTAAAATACTATATAAAATAGACACATCAAACTCCCCCAAGCCAAACCTTTGCTTGTCCCTAAGCAAAAATCTCATCAATGAATCAATAAATATGCTTCACCCCAAAAAGTAAAAATCAAGCACAAACGATTCAGGGTAAATCAAATAAACATGCTTCAAA